ATCTTTAATGTAGTCGATTTTGTTTCAAGCTCTGTAACTATCTAACGATAATCTAGTAATCGAGAAATCTACATTTACGCGACTCCTTTCTTTAATAAGTACGAATACGTCGGGGACAAAGCATGACTGGGCACTTTAGAATCATCCTGTATGGCGATAAACTGACAAACTTTTTTAACTTCGTGTGTGAAACGAGTTCGACGGATACTGCTGGTATTACACCAATGGCGACTCTATCATTGCCTTCTCGACGCAGTTGTGTAATCGAGCCGGTGTCGTGACATTTTCTATCCGGCATGCGTATGAACGCGCGCGCGCGCGCACGTATTTGCGTTCCTTTCTTTATATTAAACTTTATGTCGCCTGGCGGTTGTCAAGTGACTAAAAAGATATCTACCGTGCTGTCTCAGACACGTGGAACAATTGTGAACACTGGTCGCGTTATATATATAGTATGTTACATATATATGTATATATATATATGTAATATACATATGTATGTTACATATAGTATGTATATATATATATATATATATATATATATATATATATATATATATATAGTATGTTACAGTCAGAAGTGGAAAGACTGGCAACACTTTTACTCACGATAAACTGCAGAACGCATCTGCTATTCAATAGAAACATCTATCTCGTGACAATTAAGGTAAATGTCCCAATGACTGAGATAATAAAGAAGTTTTGCATTTTTATTAATGGAACTATTAATGGAATAACTAACAAAACTAACATTTACACAAAACTTTGGTTTGTCAGCAATCGGAGAATAACGAGAAATAAAATAATAAATGTCAATTATAATTTTAATAATATGTCAGGCAGTGCTGGTTATACTAATATTTAAACTGAAAAATGAATCTTGTTCTAATTACCGAATTATACAAACTGAATGATTGAGTATTCATTAAATAATAAGTAAATCATATTACAAATTGGCATGTAGGAATATCTTTCAACAGGCTTTTCCAGAAATATTAGATGCAAACAAGTTATTAATATTTCAATCGTTGGCACATGTTCAATTATTAAGACATTTATTAAAAAAAAAATTCTATTCGATATGGATACAAAGGACTTGTTGAAGAAAGTGTTACAATCTTTCCACCATCAATTTGTTTCAATTGCTAATTATTTTTCGTGACATGAATGACTGCGTTTAACGATAGAGAAAATCTTTCTTTCGTGAAACATCTTGGACAGATACTTCTATTCCAAAGCGAAAAATACACGTTGCTGGGACCTCAAGCGCGCCGAATTACTCGATTATTAGCGTTCGAGAAGCCGAAGAGTTTAGGAATTTTCTGGAGTGGAACACACGATCGTTCAGCGTGACCGTACAGTCACGGTAGCGTCTTAATGGCTTAATTACGAGACGCACACACACGAGGTGAAATTTCTTCGCGAAGTCAATTCTAAATCATCCGTGGATAATCGCAACGCAGATGCTATTGCAATTTCGTTGTGCAAATGCACTCGGCCCCCAAGCGAAGAAGATAGGAGAACCGGTACATATAAATATTAATTCCTAGTCGCGATTTTACGTATTTTGCGATGGTGTGTGAGTGTGAGTGTGTGTGTGTGTGTGTGTGTGTGTGTGTGTGTGTGTGT